CTGTTTTCAAAGCAATATCTGGAACTATCGACTGATGAAGTTTGGTATTTTACTGAAGATTGTCGACAAGTTTTATGAAAGATCTGAACATGTTTTATGAGTTTTCTGAGTTTTTGAAGTACCGAGTGAAGTACCAAGTTTAAGTATTGAGTTATGATGTTATGTTGCTGTTTATCGATCTTGATGGTCACACGGGAATGTATGACCAGAGGGGGGAATGTGAGATTTCATAACACTTTGAAGCAACTTTTGTTAAAGTTAAACTCATCATTCTATCAATGTGCAGAAGCCAGTACTTTTCCCTTGTTTTGTCGATCTGAAGGCCAAGCTACAAGCACACCGTGGAAGCTGCTGATTGGAGGTCTCCATGCCTCCGCTCTGTATAATACACTTGCATTCTGTTGTATCTGTGCTCGTGTGTTTTGTTCGTGCTGTCTCTACCATCGACAATAAAACATGTCTTCTGTCTGAATTAAAGACGCGATCCTAGACTTTATCATCTTCCTCACTACCAACTGAGCTACTGTCGCCCCCCCAAAAAAAAAAAGTTTAAATTATCCAATACATTTTGTTCCACTTCACGATTATGTCCCACTTGTTGTTGATTCTTGACAAAAAATTAGATTTTTATATCTTTATGTTTGAAGCCTGAAATGTGGCAAAATGTTGAAAGGTTCAAGGGGGCCGAATACTTTTGCAAGGCTCTGTACATATCTACATGTCTGACTGAGATGGACTGTCTCCACAGTGTGCGTAAGGTCATCAACATTCAACGTTCCTCGATGATGGGGAACACACTAATTAATTATTTATGAGTAAAAAAACTACCTGGAGTTGATGATGTACTTTGTCACTGTGTAGCATTTGTAGATTACTTGGTTTTATTGGGGCAAAATGAGCTTAATAAAAAGGCAAGTCGGTCATGCGTGTTTGTTTCTCACAAAGCCGGCAGCGTGCTCTCGTGGGGATGCCTCATCCCCAGAGTTGTTGGAGGCTGTGCTGCGATGCGTGCCCCTCTCCCTCTAGGACCTTACGGGCAGGCTGTACCGGGAGGAGTGTGAGGGGAGGGAGTGGAGAGTAGGGGGAAGCCAGAGAACACAACACAAAATTCCATCTGTTCGGGGTTGGACGGCTCATTTTTTAGCCCAGAGAGAGCAGCTTTGTATCCAATTTGTGCCTTTTGCCAACTGTGTCCCCAAGTCCCTCATGGGGCTGATGGTTAGTTTACAGTGGGTCAGGGCGAAGTATGAGTGGCTATCCCTGGCCACAGGTTTGGGTTTGGAGAGGAAAATGTAGCAGTCAAACAAATAGTTGGAAAAAACCAAAATAATGCAAATCTTATTAGACTCAGATTATTAATGTCTTTGCTTCTCTACCATGTCGGTACTTCCTTTACATGCAATGCTATTTTCTAGGTCTTAAATGCAGTCTAGTTTTTTTCTCATGCACAAATCATTTGTTTTTCTTACACTTTAAAATCAATCAATCAATCAATCTTTATTTATAGGGCGCTTTTCCTGCACAGGGCAACACAAAGCGCCTCACAGTCCACACCACACAATGCACAAATCATCACCATTAAAATACAATTAAAAACACATATGTAATTAAAAAGCATTAAAATCACATAAGTAATTTAAAAACATAAGAATCACACAAGTAATTAAAAACAATAAAATAGTTAAAAACACAAAAAGTTACAACAATAAATAACAAGGTGTGTTAAAAAGATAAAATTCTCTAGTTGTATGCACAGGAAAAAAGAAAAGTCTTTAACATGGATTTGAACATTGACAGAGAGGCAGCCAGTCTCACATCCTCAGGAAGACTGTTCCAGACTTTAGCTGCATAAATCTGAAAAGCAGCCTCCCCCTGTCTAGTCCTGACTCTGGGCACTAACAGGAGTCCCGTCCCTGCGCTCCTCAGAGTCCGGGCTGGTTCATATGGGACTAGCATATCATGGATGTACTTTGGTGCAAGGCCATGGAGAGACTTGTACACCAGGAGAGCTGCTTTAAAGTCTATCCTCTGGGCCACGGGAAGCCAGTGCAGAGACCTGAGGACCGGACTAATGTGGTCGTACTTCCTGGTTCTAGTCAGGACTCGGGCTGCAGCATTTTGAATATACTGCAGCTGTTTTACTGCATGTTTGGAGATACCTGTGAGCAGGCCATTGCAGTAATCCAGCCTACTGGAAACAAAAGAATGGATAAGAATCTCCAAGTCTGCCCTGGACACAATATTTTTAATTTTGGCAATATTTTTCAGATGATAAAAAGCTGCTGATGTTACCGATCCAATGTGGCTATTGAAGTTTAAGTCAGAGTCCATTATTACTCCCAGATTTCTGACCTTATTTAAAGGCCTTAGGGAGAGAGACTGAAGGTGACAAATGACGGTCTCTCTTTGTTTCTCGGGACCAAAGACAATCATTTCGGTTTTGTCCGCATTTAGCTGGAGAAAATTGCATTGCATCCACTCACTGATCCGCTGGATACAGCGAAGGAGTGAGTCCACCGGTCCATGCTCTCCTGCAGTCAGTGAGACATAGATCTGAGTGTCATCAGCGTAATTGTGGTAGGACACTTTCATACTTTGAATTAACTGACCTAATGGCAGCATGTAAATATTGAACAGGAGAGGTCCCAGAATCGACCCCTGTGGCACTCCGCAGGTCAGGGCCATATTATCTGAGACATAGTCTCCAATCTCCACACAATACTTCCTTTCTTCTAGATAGGACCTAAACCAGCTTAGGGCAGTACCAGCAACACCAACCCAGTCCTCCAGTCTCTGCATGAGAATCTCATGGTCAACGGTGTCAAAAGCGGCACTCAGATCTAACATGACTAAAACAGAGACTTTTCCTGCATCAGTGTTAAGCCGAATATCATTTGTTACCTTGACTAGAGCGGTCTCAGTACTGTGGTGTGGTCTAAAGCCAGACTGAAACATGTCAAATGAGTCATTAGATATTAAAAATTCAGTAAGTTGTTGGTAGGCAACTTTTTCAAGAATTTTTCCCATGAATGGCAGATTTGAGATGGGACGGTAATTTTCAAGTACCGCAGCATCCAAACTGCTCTTTTTTAGGAGGGGCCTGATGACTGCCTTTTTCAGGGCCATTGGAAATGTTCCAGATAAAAAAGACATGTTTACTATTTGTGTCAATGAGGGTAATAGACTACACATAACAGACTTCAGAAATCTAGGAGGTAGTACATCCAGACTGCAGGTAGAGGAACTAAGACCTGTGATTATCTTTTTAACAGTTTCATCATTGACAGGTGCAAATTGAGCTAGCTCACAAAGCCTCACTGGATGTTGCATTGTTACTTGTGTTGTAGAGGTGATGGTATTTCTGATACCCTGAACCTTGTCTCTGAAGAACTGTGCAAACTCATTACACCTGGATTTGGAGTAGTGTTCTAATGGCAACTCAACAGGGGGGTTCGTTAATCTATTGATTGTTGAAAATAGAACACGCAGATTGTTGCTGCAGCCTTCAATAGTTTCAGAAAAGTATAATTCTCTTGTTCTACGTAGTACTCTGTTAAACTCACACAACTTCTCTTTTAAGAGTTTATAATCACCCTGGAGGTTGGACTTTCTCCACTTTCTCTCTGCTCTCCGGCACTCTTGCTTCTGTGCCCTGACCGGGCCTGCTTTTATCCATGGGGCTTTTTGCTTATTTGTGACCATTTTTACCTTCACAGGGGCAATGGCGTCCAGAACATTCAACACACTAGAGGTGACAGAGTTAAACAGTTCATCTACAGTAGAACATGATGTGTTCTCAAAATGGATCATTCCCATAAATAGTTCACCCGTGTTTTCATTTAAGTGTCTACTTCTAACAATTTCATATTTAGCGGGTGGTCTGGTAGCAAAATACATGTTAAAAAATACACAGAAATGATCCGACAGAGCAACATCAACTACATTAACTTTTGAAATATTCACCCCTTTCGTGATAAGCAGGTCCAGGGTGTGTCCTCTGCTATGGGTGGGGCCACTCACATGCTGAGTGAGGCCAAAGGATTCAAGTATGGAACTCAGCTCTTTTGCGTATCTGTCATTAACATTATCCACATGAATATTAAAATCGCCTATAATGACTAAACCATCAAAATCTGTGCACACAACTGAAAGCAACTCAGTGAAATGATCAGTGAAACTATGGCATGACTGTGGCGGCTTGTACACAACAATAATAAGAATGGAAGATTTCTTTTGTTCTATTTTAAAAGAAACATACTCAAATGATGAAAATTTCCCAAGAGACACTCTATGGGAGACAATACGATCTTTAAAAACTGCTGCTATGCCCCCCCCCCCTTTTTTAAATCTCAGAGTTTATGAAATGTACACTGGAAATAAGTCCTTTTTAGATAATAATAATAATAATAATAATGCATCGGTTTTATATAGCGCTTTTCTGGACACTCAAAGACGCTTCACATGTGTCATTATTCATTCACTCCATACACGGTGGTGATAAACTACTGCTGTAGCCACAGCTGCCCTGGGGCACACTGACAGAAGCGAGGCAACCAGTATGCGCCATCGGCCCCTCCGACCACCACCAACCATTCATACACACACCAGACTCATTCTAGGCAATGGGGGTGAAGTGTCTTGCCTAAGGACACAACGGCAGTTTGGCACTTTACAGCCGCAGCCGCCCCACTGTGGCTGGTGTTCCCAGAGGTTAAGTGTCTTGCCAAGGACACTTAACCTTGTACATATCTTCTGTAGTTGGTGATTTTATGTTGGTTTGGTTGTGTCCGGTTGTGTTGTCAGAACATCTCGACTGCACACCTTAGTTTGTGGCTCTTCCATGAAATATTCTTGTGATCATGCTGTCTCTCTGTGCTGGCTGTGACTGAAAAACACGAGTCCAAAACAAACATGTCTCCGTGTAGAGAAGTTGCTCTTGCATTTTGAATGAGGCTGCATCACATCAGAAAAGTGACTGATCTTTCCTTTTTCCTTTGCAGGGGTAAAGGCCCGCTGAAGAACACTTCTGATGTCATCAGCGCCGCCAAGAAAATTGCAGAGGCAGGATCCAGGATGGACAAGCTCGGCCGCACCATTGCAGACAATGTAAGTTTCAAACCAGACTACGTTGTTTACATGTGTTCCTGTCGAATTATGCTTAGTGAGGTTAACGTGTAGTGGGAAAACATATTTGGCTGTTATGTGTAAGTAGAGCATCAAAGAGGCTATTCTCCCCACTCTTCTGGGACTAGTGCAGGGATTAAAGAGTTCCGTCTAGGTGACGGATTTCCGTCAAATGAAATTGGTCTGGAAAAAAAAAAAATATATATATATATATATATATATATATATATATATATAATATATATATATATATATATATATATATATATATATATAGATGTATAATAATAATTTGAATATAATTGTATTTATATGTATATAGAAATAATAAGTAATATAATCACGAGTGGGCCTTGAACGTGCCGTGGCCACATGAGGGCTCCGCAAATGAATCAAGGCAATGGGACGTAGCTGAGCTCACGCGCAAATGAAGACGCGATGAAGTTAGCATTGGTAACACGGAGGTGAAAGTTTCTGGAAACTGCACGGAGCTTTTGAAAAGGAGAAGAGGAGGAAAATTTAATCTCGAACGGAGCAATAACAGCAGCAGATCCGCGGACTGGTAAGCTGGGCGCGTAATAGAGGAAAGGTAATTAACGTTTACCAAACGCAATGCTAGTTTACTTAACGGAATGTACAAAACGGACTTTGCTGCAACTGGGAATGGGGACAAACATGTCTTGGTGAGCTTTTGATATTGTCTTGTTTGCGATCTTCTTGCAAAACTCAGCGTGATATAAAAGAGCCAATCAATGAGTCATGGTGCGAAAAGATGAAAGTGGCCGGTGCTTGTGCGTACTTTGCCATAAAAAAATTGCATGTATGGGAGTAATGAGAAAAAAGTTTTGATTCGCCACCAGCTCAAAACTGCGCACAAGGCAGCTGTTTGTGCACTTTCCCACACTTCATCTTTACCTGGTGCATCAGCAACAACTAACACTAGGCTTGCTATGGCAGACCGTGTCTGGCTTTATCGCAGAAAATAACTTTCAGAATATCACTACCGCTGGTAGATTTATTTAAATCATTTGCAGTTGATCGAAGTGCACTGTGCACTCAAACTTGATAGGGAAACCTTTTTCTTAAATATTGACGTGTCCACAAACAAATGTGGACAGAATTTTATCGTCCTTTTGCAATATTTTGACGAGGACAGAGCCAAAGTGTTGACGCTCCATATCGCCTCAAGTAAAGCTACTCTCACTAATATTCTGTCAAAAAGTTTACTCGTTGCTTGATCCACTTATATTTCATATCAAAATACACTGTATATCTTTGAAGAATTCATTTGAGCTGTATTCAATATACAATCTATTATACAATAATATATTGTAATTACAAATATAACTTGGTCCTGCATATTACTGTGATTTACATGTGATAAATTTCCATGCGAAAATTTTCAGTCAAATCTTTTTTTTTTGCTTTAATCCCTGGACTAGTGACAAATCACTTGACGATTTGTCACCACTTAAAGTTTACCAATAAAAATGAAGTGGAATGAAGGTCCTTGACTAATTGTTTTTTTTTTTTCCTTCATGTGACTGCAGTGGTGTGCTGTTTACATAATTGTTGTGGGACGGACATCTACCTTGGCCATGTTCAATACTAGGTGGAAAACAAATCTGTTGACTGTGCATACATATATTGTACTAATTTATTATTTAAATCCCCATTTTAAATAGAGGGCTACCAACAACAGGCCACTAACTGCCCTGCTTTGCTAATATTTTATTGATCAATATTACAGGCATATCTTACCCAGTCTTACCTGTGCTGACCTAATTGCATCTGAATCGAGAATGAGAAGTCCTGGAATATGGCTTTCCTCTGCCTCACTGCTTTTTTGGAGATGTTTATTCACTTTATGGAAAACACTGTTATCCCCCAAAGGAAGCAGATGCTCAGCTGTGCAGGTGTGGGACACTCTTCAGACTCTAAACACTGGCCTCAATTTTCCTCTGCACATGTATGACCGCCCTGTTTGCTATACTGTCCCTCTCTCGACTATTAGTAGGTACTAGCCTCTGAACTCATCCAGTTATCCTTCTCAGCCTTCTCAGTCCTAACTAAGACGAAGCGAAACACAACACATGATGCCCACCAGCAACAGGCCTCAGGTTCTGGGACGCTGGTGTGGTGAGGAGGGGAAAGATAAGTGCAAAGGATGGAGCGATAAGAGGAAGAAGGGGCAGGAACCTCCTGAGAGATGAATCCATTACAGGCTCTTCGCTTTTTAATTAGCCTGATAATTGCCAGGTGGCAGTTTTAAATGATTTATTTATGTGGTTTATATTTAGGTCTATCATGTTACAAAGCAGGATATGCCGCATGTCTACTCACCACAGTCCTGGCCTTTTGAATGGTCTGCTTATTGCAGCAGAAATACTTAAGCAAATCACCAGCAAGACGTTCACACTCTGACACCGCCATATGAGCAGAGGCGATGCTGGGACTCCTCATTAACCCAGACATATTAATCACTTTTTCCGTGTGCTTATGGCCCACAGGACCTTCAGGCTTTCTCCTTCATGTAAAACGTATTGGCAGATGTTCTGATGGTACAACAACTGACTTTAGCATTTACAACATATTTCTATCAATATTGTGCTGAAGAACAATGTCAACTTTAGGCTTTTTGAAAAGCTCTTAAATATGTGTAATGGAGCCTCATTAAAATTTGAAGCAATGAGTAGTGTAGAGATGAGCTGCAGGATTTAGGTCAGGACCGTACAAAGGTCTGCACTGCAGTTTATTAACAATTTATGACCTCCACTGCAGGGCATCTTATGAGAATTCCATCTGGGCGCACTAGTAAACAAATAATGCAGTCTAATTGAGATTTATAATGCAAATGTGTTAGCCACTGTGTAGCCCATAAATTTCTGTTGCCTCCCGGGCTCTCCAGATAGAGTGGAGTGCAACAATGCAGACATGTCCATGAAAACTACCATATTTAAAGAAATACATGTGCTTGCTATGTTCAAGTTGTGTGATCTTTATTCTCATGATGTATACTGACATACACAGTGTACTTTTCCAATTTGCATTCAATCAGGAAAGATTTATGGTGATCCGTGGGCTGTGTGGCCAGTCGGTCTAATCCCAGCACCGACCCTCGACGCTTTACAGCAGACAGGGTTGTAAATTACCTACTGCAGTGGAGAAGCAAACTCACACAGGGAGCACACATATTCTCAGCTCAGCAGATCAAGGGTCAGCCCTCCATCCACTACAGTCCGGTTCAAGTAAGAGATCCCATGTCAGAGTTCACAACAACATCAATCATCAGCCACTATTGTTTGTTATGCTATAGATCTTCCTTTGGCAAAGTTGTACTCCTGAGGTTTACTCGTGTGAATACTAGTGAGATGCGATTTCCGAAAGATGCGGCTATTAACTGCTGAAATGCATTTTGAAGTATCCAGGATTAACACTGTCCTACTAACAATCTTATTCTCAATCAATTGCATTCGTTTTGGTATTGGTATTCATATATTTAATTTGAATTACTTTTTTTTTCTAATTCAATCTTGTGTTTGTATGATATTAAGCCTACACTTGTGAATTGTGCTGGTTATATGAAAAAAGGAAAGTAAGCTATCACTGTACACATGAACTTGAAATTCAGTGTAGCAGTTATGCCATTGAAAATTGGTTTGTGCGTACAAAGTCAAACGATGAATGTCAAACATGCCCTACAGTAAAAATGACTTATGTCCCACACTAGTGATGCGAAGAGTTTTGCTTACAGGTGCTACAGTACTGCTCTGACTGACAGCTGCACTGTGGATATTAAACATTGAGTGCTTTTTAATTGGTCCCCATGGTTGGCTTTAAAGTGAACCTTTTTTGGCAAGCCCCCAGCTCAAATTTCCCCAGCAATTTTTTTCTGCGTCAAAAATTCCTTAAAATATTTACAATACACTAAAGTGGGCATACAACGACAAATGTGTTAAGTTTTCAGTTTACGATAATAGTTTATTTATCAGTCCAGGGGACACTTAAGTGTACGGTGGTTTAGTTAGTAGAAAAAAAATCTATAGTTTAAAGTGGTGCAAAACATTTTGAACCCATTTGCCACTCCTTTGAAAACATAACAGATCCACCTTTTGTATATGTCCCCAATTGGCAGAGTCAGAACGCTAAAGTGCAGAAGTTCAGAATTTTAATAAGGTGCTGCAGCCGCTGAACTGAGAAGAGGACGTTAGAATAGTTTTAATGTTCTTTGGACAAATCTTTACTGTTGCTCCAAATGAAAATACATTTTTTACCAATAACAAATTTGACCTCCAGCATGTTTTTGAATTGTTGTCATAGACATAGGATTACCTTATGGTAATTCATAGGATTACCTTATGAATGTACATGAGAGCATGACTCTTCAGGTATCAACCAAAACATTTGTTGGGCGGCACGGTGGCTGAGTGGATAGCACTCTCGCCTCTCAGCAAGAAGGTCCTGGGTTCGAATCCCGGTCGGACCAGGGCCTTTCTGAGTGGAGTTTGCATGTTCTCCCCGTGTCTGCGTAGGTTTCCTCCGGGTACTCCGGTTTCCCCTACCACTAAAAAAATATGTCCAATAGTTCTAGCATGCGCCTCCTACTGGCGACCCCGCTCCTATCTCTGTGTGGAGTGAGAGACAAATGCCCAAAAATTAACAATTGTAAACCGCTTTGAGACTCAGATCTGTAGTGAAAAGGCGGTATATAAATAAAGATTACTTACTACTACTACTACTACTTGACAAGGGACAAAGATATGCAAAAATCTAGAAACCAGTGTCAAAACAGCAAACCACACGTACCAAAGGGCAGAATTAAAACAATAGGAGCCACATTACTTCAGTTTGTACACAACAGACTCACACATGAACAATACGTAACTTTCTTCACACTTACCGCAAGTTTCGTAATAACGAGAACGAGGCAGAATTTGCAACACGTTCTTTGGATGTTCTGACCCGATCCGAGCACAGTCAAA